GATTTTTTTTCTACCAAATTATACGCATGAGAAAAAGTATGACTTAATTGCAGCTTTTGTAAGCCAATAGTAGCTAGCAAGGGGTATATTGTACGTGTTGTGAACAAAGCCTTTTAAAAATTATTACCCGAGCTCAGCAAGCACTACCCGACTAGATCCTTTATTGACTATTGAGAAAAATTTATTGGGAGCAAAGGAGTCGATAAACATGTAATTTTTTTTTTTTTTTTTTTTTTTGAAAACAAATTTACTCATAAAGTAAAGGACACTTTCGACAATTTATTTAATTTTATCCAACCGTCTTGTACGTCAAATGCAGATAGAAAGTTTCTCGTTCGAAATTTGTCGTTAAAATCCCAACGTATTCCTTCGACCCTATGTACAAATGAAACAAAATTATAAGAAAATTTCAAGAATCCTGAGCATGATCGACTTTTAAGACGTTATTGTGCTTCTAATATTCAGTCATGCAGTAGGACCACTCAAAAAAGTCATCCAATAGTAATCTCTACCGTATGCGCTCACGAAATCTTGACGAAACATCTCTTGCGAATCTGTCAACGAGATACTGAATGAATAATTTCATTTCATTTTAGGCGAAAGTTCGAAAAGCAGTACAAATATATGTTGACACGTATCACTTCATGAATTCTCGGACGCAACATATGTACACAGGGGTTTTCTCCATCTTGATGGACTTTATTATAAATCCAAACGACGAATGCAATTTCGATTACAGCTGGAGAGCGACCCTCAAGCTACAGAGAGTTGATCGCCTGTCGTGTATCAATTTGAATGCCTATACCTATCTAAACCTGCCAAAAAAACACGACAAGACCAACTTCATTATCTACCATCGTTAGGTTCCCGAACTTTTCTAACGGTCAGTCATTATTATATATAATGTAGTATATTTTTTCCATACTTTGGTATAAAAAAATGTAACGTACAAAATGATGGATATTCAACCACTTACACTTCAATCGATTTTCAAGTACAAGTTGTTTTTCGTCGAAAGATGCGTTCGCGTTTTTTTACATTTCAACGAATTTTCAAAGTTGCACATCATCTAATTATAACAAATGAGTTTAAACCCTTTCATTGAAGTTAAAGAAAAAGACATTTATGGCCAAAGTATTCGATCGTTTACCCCGAGAAACTTTCTACGATTAAATGCATCACGAGCGTTTTGTGTCGCACGAATTTGACTGTTGATTGGACTGCGAGAGCAGACAACGAAACTAAAGGCGCTGAAAGAGCTCAACTCTGACTCTTATTTTCGTTGCATCGTAACTCCTGTCATCGACACATACCGTAGGCATATACTCTGATCAGAGCATCCGCTGCTTCGATATTCGCGGCCCTGCAGAAGACATGTCAGACTTTGAAAGTTTTTCAGTGCGTAGTGATTCTTTTGTTTTAATGAGAAAACACGCGTTAAATGATGTTAGATGTTCAGATGTATACAATACTCGCCTTTAATTAACTTTCAATAAAATCAAGAAGATCATTTTCCATGACTCTTCAATTTTCGACTGGAGCATACTCACAACTTCATAAGTGTAATACTCGATCGTCTACGTACAGTTCAACTGGTTCTCACAGTAAATTTGATTTGATTAACTACTCGATTAATTCAACACCTCGAATTATGTACTTTTCTTCGTCGATATTCACTTATGCGGTTGTCTTTTCACACAATGGCGCTCATTATAATGCGTCACCAATCAATCATTTTTTGAAACGGAAAATCAGAAAAGCACTCGATTTAATGAGGTAAATCAATGCAACTTGAATGTCAGGTGTTACCAAATTCTAACTGGTGGGAGTGTAAAAGGATTTCCAAAAAAATCGAAACAAGAAAAATGGTAATTATATAATAATTTGATGTATTTCGTTTCTGAAATGTAATGTGAAGGAAGAAAAATACAAATGAGCATGATACATGGTATATTTTTTAAAATTGCTCATATCCCCGCAGTACTCGATTGAATATTAGTCAACCTTTTCTCTTCACCTGTGCTTTTGGAATCAAGATGCATCCACAAGAGATTCTGAAAAGTAAAGAAGGGGAAATCTTACACGTGCTTAAATCTGTTTTACTTGTAGACTACTCTGCGCAGTTGTCTCTCTCTATCTCTTTGCTCCATACAATGTAACCCATTCATTCAAGCTCTTTGAAAAGGGTTGCGGCTGACTAATACATTGTGCGAACGAGCAAGAGGGAGAGACAGGTAAGAGAGACGATGTGCTTGCTATTTTTTAAAAGGCTGAGTAACGATTACCAATAAGCGTGCGGGGAACCCTTTGTCGGAAGCGACGGAAATTAAAGGAGAGGCGCCAGCGACTCGTCATTCAACACTGCCTTTCTACAGGTGTAGTGCATGTAACTTGTATGTTCATATAGCTATATCCATTTCTGTAAAGTGTATACGTTGGAGATTAATTTGTGCGCGTGGGTAGTCGGTCGGGCCCGCGCCTAAATAATTGATATTAATGCGTCGCCCGAAACATTATTTGCGTACTTTTACTTTTCCCGAGCACACGACACCTCTCGCTTGTATTTTCATGGCTAGCGATTTACATACATTTATTTATACACGCGTATATATACAAGTGTACCGTGTCAAGCGGTAGTAAAAATAAGTCGTACACATCCTGTTTTTCACTGCAAGCCAATCCGAGTCTGTTTCTATCTCTATCTCTCTCTCTCTCTCTCTCTCTCACGCCAGAGACATGTATTCAGAAAGCATCTCGTTTCACTGCTCAAAAGGATTTCCAATTGCTCAAGTACGCCCCAACTCATTAGTTTAGTATATTAGTAGATATAAGTGCATAAACGGCAAGCCTCGGCACGTACAAATATATAGGCCGGAAAAGCTAAACAGATCCACTTGGGTCGCATGGTCGATAAGTCGCCTTTAAAAAAAGTCTACAGTAGTCAAGTCAAGTACAAACTCAACTCGTTCGTATGTTTAAGCCGGCGCATCGGCGCGACATCGCTCGCGACACATCGGGTTCAATGTGAAAGTTGCGCCAATGACAAGGCATTCGTATCTTCGTAATCGTCAAGTATCTACATTATTTTCCGCACAAGCGTGTGCTCGTGTTTACTTTCTTCGTATATTTATACGGAGTCGTGTCGCCGAGTGAGTAAGCATCGTTGGCGCAGACTCTCGAGGCGGTCGAGTTTTTTCTTCTTCTTCTTTTTCCCTCCTTTTTTTTCTCTCGCTTCGAGGTAAGCGCAGACACGCGTTTCGCGCGTAAGCGAACGGGCCCCAGTCCGATTGCAGGTGAGAGCCTGTGCAGCTCGCGTAAGCCCATCGCACTATTGTACATCAGGTATACTTGCCGTCGCTTTATGTACACATGGATATATTGGCGTCGATGAGCTATATACGGCTTACTTTACACATTTATCGAAAACTAATGTACAATTCATTTATACGAATTTTCGAGCTCGGGCTCAGTTAGAAGGAAACATATAGAGCTATAATATATTATTATGTAGTTTATATACGAGTATGAAGTTGAAATTGACAAGTTTAGCGATAGAGAAAAAGGTTGCACGTGATGTGGCCTGCGCCGCGTGTATCTGCAACGCAAAGAGCTGTGCTATCGCTTCTAACGAGTATATTATTAATTAATAGTTCTCGGTATTAGCCGTGATTTCTCGAAAATAAGTTTATATTCGAGTTCTTGGCGAACGACCGCACTTTTACGGTGGCGTACGATTAGGTAGTTGCCGATAATAACTGCTTACCGTTGGCGTATCGTGTGCAGCGCATAAAGCATATATAGGCGCGATATACACGTCAGAGCACGGGGCATTTGTCATGCGCTTAATGATGGGATGGGTAGGACGCGCGAGCGTCCCCGATCGAGGCCCAAAATAAAAAAGTTATGCGTTCGCAGGGCGTCGAGTGCCGCGCATCGCTGGCCTTACAATTATTTTAATCAAACCCTATCGAGATCGTAACTCACGCGTCCGACACACGCTGACTTACATAACTATACACATACGCGTAATATCCTTTGGGTCGCGTTGTCCAGCTCAAATGACTCTCGGATCGATTGAAATAGGACGGATACTTTCGGATCCGCTTACGGTTAACCCATCTCGTTGTATTCGACCAGTCTCGTATATGCAACGAGCCATATATCTTGTCGACGCCCCCCCGTGCAGCGACCAATTGTCCATCTCCAACAACATGTGAACTTGAAGAACCCAATACTCGTCTCTTCATACCTCGTGCTTCAGATTCTTAATTTTTGTCACTTTTTCAAGGTAATTACCATTGTTATGTAAGTAAGCCGAAAGGAAGTCCAAGTTAAGTATGTAATTATCAAGATAAGCTTACAATTTAATAATAGTCGCACGACTAGTATTGATTTGCTGGAAATTCTTCTTTTTTTTTTTTGAAACGGGAAACTGCAACGCCCACAGTTTTAACCCGACGCGGGTCTTTTGTCGGTCGAGACACGCATGTGTGTGTGTGTGTGTGTTGTGCGTGGGTGCGTGCCAGAGAGCGACACTTTTCGATAGCGTTGTGCTCGTCGCGCGCATATCATTATTTTATGCGAGGTCAGAGCGTAACGTGTGTATTACGAGTCGAAGCCCTTCCAAGCGGCTCGAGGTGAGCCAAGCACGAGTAGTGGGGCTCATTGCTATTAGTCTCGAAACGTACCCCGTCCCCACCGCGATCGAGTCTGGCTTTCGCGATGTATAGAGCTTGCGCGGAGGGCTCGTGAGCGGGAGCAGTGAATGGCAGGCGGCACTGCTTACTGATGTAGCCCCAGCATGCACGTGTGTAGCTCGTACTTGTATTGCCTTGCGTGTACTGGTGGTGCGCACACGCGCACGCGGAATCGTCGTTTTCTTTAGGCGCGCACGCACACCATAGCCCAGAGCGTAGCCCAAAGAAGCCTACGCACGGGAGAGGGGATGGAGCGAATTTTTAGAGTGGGAAATGGAGCTTTAGTAGTCGGAGAATCGGCCCCAGTGACTTCAGTTTCGGGCTTGAACCACCCGAGTTAACATCGCGAGCCAGAGCCTCTAAGACTTGGTACGAGATTTTTTTTGTTTTGCGTCGTTTTGCTTTTTCGTGCACTCATGAATTAGCGGACACATACTGCAGCAGTGTTTTATTTTTTCCATTATTTCATTTTTACTTTGCGCCGTGGTCCACGTGTGTCTCCTTGGTTATGCATATTTCTTTTATCAACCCAAGCCGACCGTAATTTTACACCCCTGTGCTTTTTGTGTATGAAAAATTTGTGTCGAAAAAAGTGTGCCCGTTTTTCGCTTGCGAACAATTTATTTTCGCCCAAGATTCGATTGATTTTCACGAATCTCGCAGTAGTGTGAGCCAGAACGACCAAGTGTGACAACAACACAGCACGACGCTTCAAAGTTGATCGCTGCTTATCTCACATGCGAGCTAACTACTGCATCGGCTTATCGAGCGAGTTAACTACTTTTCTCTTCCTGTGATCGATGACTCTCATGGAGTGCGTTGCCAAAACTAACGCTCACGTTTCGTTGGACGAATCATACCACAGGAAACTGGCCATCGAGGAGTTTATTCAGAAATCCCTGGCCTTTAAGAGTGAGTAAAATTATCTCATCGTTTAATCGACTCGATTGAGCTTTTCAGCGAGCTTTTTCTTACCCACTTGTAAATTTACATTATTTAACTGATTGTCATACATGTAAACAAACATAAAAAGTTCAAAATTATCGAGCCAATGACGTAAAGGTGTTTATGCGAAACGACCGTGCTTGACATGTATATTCATCTCTAAAGCTGTTCATTTATATAGAAGGTTTACAAATAAAATCTCGAGTCCGTCGGAGAAACGATTATCGATTCCTATCGCATGTCGTATGCAAGCAAGAAATATAGCATCGAAAAAAGAGAAAGAGAGTAGCATTGAAAAAAGGCAAAAAAGTCGCGCAGCGAGGGTCGTTTGGTCGATTTTTTTTCGTACACCCCGTCGGAGTCGGTATACGTATACATTATACAACGACGATCATGTATTGCGATTTACAAGAGAGCGCGCGTGCCTCAACGAGCCGCCCTATGATCATTTTTTTAGTTTTTTTTTTTTTTTTTTTCATTACGTCGTTTCCCCAATGAAAAAACAAGAAAAAAAATCTCAGTTTGCAGAATTCGTACGTTGAGGACTGAAGCAACGTTTCATTTCTTCAATTTTTATTCCTTCTGTTTGGAGGCTTTCGCGCGCTCGAAAGTCCAATTGCGCAGAACATCCTACACGCTTAGTAAGAAAAAGTTCATTTTTCGGACGAAGCGAACGAGGAAAAAAGTCGATAAGGGCGCCGTTCGCGCAAAGACGCTTGACTTCGTGAGAAGGGGTTGTAGAAAATGGGAATTATAAGGCCAAAGGGGAAGTGCGCGCGGGCAACCAATTAGGGCTGTGCTCGTCCGCGAGAGCTTCGTCGTCGTCTTCGAACGCACACAACGTTAAGGGAACATAAGCGAGGGAGGCAAAGCTCGGCGTGTTGCCCAGGAAACGCTCTTGTACTTTCCTTTCCTATCTTTCTCTCTCTTATTCGATCTGCGCTCTAGTACATGTAAACAGTGGCGTACGTGAAATCGCTTATGATAATTGCGCTACTCCTTTCAAAATTCCCGGCAACGACGTAGGCTAATAAAATAAATCCTGATGCAAGCGCTAAAATATATTTGCTTGTTTCTTTTTTTTTTCGTTTATTTCGGACGCACCCACTACATTAACGCGCTCAAATGTCAAAAATAACGGAAACAATAAACAAGCTGAGAGTAAAAGTGAGCAAGAAACTTGGCGACCTTCGTGAATTCGCGTGGGTGTGCAACATCACAAATGAATGAAATCTTGTACTCGTGAATGGAATTGCTCCGGGTAACAAGAGGAGGAGGAGGAGGAGGAGGAGGAGGAGGAAAAGTAGAGTCGAACGAGCGAGAGAGAGAGAAAGAGTAGCAGGAGGAGTTAGATAAAAGCTCACGTGTGCAACTCTCTTGCATTTAGTACGAAGCGAAGGGAAAGCTTTGATAGTTTTTCCGAGTCAAGTCTGATTTCTCTCGAGCAGAGGTCCAGTCGAACATACTTCTTCTTTCCATATTCGGTTATATTTCCGAGAGGCACAGATTGGTGGCAAGGTCGAAACTTGCGCAATGCTCCCGCCTCACAAAAACCGGACATTCAGCTTCCGGCTGCGTACCGGGCGTCTGGCCAGTAATTTGCATATCGATCGATTCGTTAATCCGTATTTTATTCGCTCGCATCCGATCTTGTATTACACATGACACGCGTATTACCACACACTCGCCTCGATGTAACAAACAAATTCAAATATCCAATTTAAAATAAGCCGTGTAAAAAATAACGTCTGTCCTTTTTTTGCCCTCAGATTTGTCTGGTATGAGCGGCATACAGCAGGAGTCGTTGGAGCGAGGCATGCCAGCGCCCAATTCGCCACCGCTCAAACCCGAGCTGGCTACGACGGCCAACTTGTTCAACGATCCAAACTTCGCCAGCCTAGCCAACCAGATGCTTTCCCAGCACTACTTCAATCAAACTCTAATGAGCATACCGAACCTCAACGCCGCTCTGGGCAATCCGCTCCTGTTCCAGCAGTACCAGCGATACCATCAGGCTATCGCTGCTTTAACGATTCCGGCGGCGATGCCCTCGCCACCCGTGCCTATGCAGCAGCCCACGAGCCCCGTTTCACCGGCGCTCAGCAGCGCTTCTGCCAGCAGTGCTCTAGCCATCCATAACAACAACAACAACAGCAACATCAATAACAATGACAACAGCATCAGTAACAACAACAACAACAACAACAACAACAACAGCAACATTAACAATAACAACGAAGTAGTCAGCAGCAGCTGCGCCGATAAATTAAGAAAAGTCAAGCCGAAAAAGCGAGCGGCCAAGGTGGCGAAAGTCGAAGTCGCCGCGGCGAACGGCACCGAAGTTGCCGTTGCGGAGATCAAAGCACCGGGCAAGGACCGAAATTTCACTTGCCAAGTTTGCTTCCGGAGCTTCGGCTACAAGCACGTCCTGCAAAATCACGAGCGAACGCACACCGGCGAGAAGCCCTTCGAGTGCCTCGAGTGTCACAAAAGGTGCGCCAACGCCGCCAACTTTTCTCTTCGCTCGACTCGCGCGACTCGCTCGAAACTAATAGTTTTTCCCGCTTTCTCCTTGCAGATTCACCCGCGACCATCATTTGAAGACGCACATGCGCTTGCACACGGGCGAGAAGCCGTATCACTGCACCCATTGCGATCGGCAATTCGTGCAAGTGGCCAATCTCCGGCGACACTTGCGCGTACACACGGGCGAGCGACCCTACGCCTGCGAGCTTTGCAAGGCCAAGTTCTCCGACAGCAACCAGCTCAAGTCGCACATGCTCATACACAAGGACGAGAAGCCCTTCAAGTGCGATCACTGCGAGACCAACTTCCGTCGCAAGCACCACCTGGACGTGCACAAGTGCAAAGCCCTCGCGAGCGCCAGAGCCGCCCCCGGCTCCCGAGTAGCCGCCGCCGTGAGCCCGCCCTTGGCAGCCTTCTCCGCGAGCAGCGCCAGCAGCAGCAGCAGCGGTTCGGCCTGCAGCGGACGCCTGTCGCGCGTCGGCTCCTTGTCGCCTTGCAGCCTGGATCTCGACGACGAGGCGATGCTCCAGGAGAAGCCGCCGCTGACGCAAGGCCACCATCAGCCGCCGGCTACGTACCTTCGACCTAAGCAGCTGGCCTCCTCGATGATGCAAGACGTGCCTTTCTCGACTGCGAGCGTGAATCTGACCTCGGCAGCACCCGTTAACTTGGCTTTCCAGACCCCCATGCAGACCGAGCCCGAGGACCTATCGATTCGCGGCACTGGTCGAAGCAGCGATGAGACTTCGATAAGGCCCGATTCTCGCGCTAGCTCGTCGTCGCCGTTTTCCTTCGTTCAACGAGACGAGGATGTAAAGATGGAGAATATGACCGACCTGTCTGCCAGGTGAAAAGCGGCCATTTGCGAATAGTAGTTTTTTTTTTTCAAATAATAATATCTTTGTACATAACATTAGCTGGTACTCCCGCGTGTAAAAAAATTATATATATTTATTAATATAGGTGAAAATGAACCGGTGTGTAGATAAAGTAAGTGCGTGCCATTTTTCGAGCCCGACAGATTGCTCGGGTTTATTACTTTTAACGATTAGCCATGCACGAGAATAAGTTTATTGTCCGCGTCGCGCGTCTTTATATTGAAATTTAATATATTGATGAGCGGTGCAGTGCTGATAATAAAAGTTCCGGCAATCCTTTTTGTATTATAGATATTAAAGAGACATTTAAATTATTAACTATGAAATTATATTAACGGATATAGTTGTGCTATTGTAAAGAAGAAAGGGAGAGAAAATATTATTGATAACAGAAGCCATATTTTTTCAATGACGAATACACATTCGTAAACAGTGAAACTGAGAATAGTATGCGTGAATGTTGACTGGTATACAAGTTCCTCTGACAGTTGAAAGCTACGGATCGAATCAACGCCTTGGCCTCTTGCAATACTTGCCTGTCGCCCTCTGTCCGTTTGCGAACTGTGCTTTTTTTGTTAATTATTATTTACATTTGTTTTGTTTTGTTTTGTGTCCATTCCATTTGTATATAATAGATTAAAAATTACATGTAATGTACTATTTACATTACTTGCATAATTTTCTTTTTATATTTGTAAATAATACAATTATATGCAATTAAATTAGCATTTGAATTCATTGCTGGTAGTAAGCGATACAGAAACGTTGCCTATGCAGCTCAAATGACTATGATTTGTCATTAAACAATGATCTTTATTATGAATATTACAGTGCGAACTGCATGGCAATTAATATTTCACGTCATCCTTCCACAGTACATTTTTTTCGACGGACAGAGTATTTGTAAATATGTAGCATAAATATTTTTTTAGCTCGATAAGGCCTATTGTTTTTTACCATTTAAAACTAAGAATTTTGTTAATCATGCCAATTCATCTATTTCATATCGCCAAATATTTGTATGATTTTTTAAATTCAATTAACCAAACGCAATGAAATCGATTAAGCACTAATTTCCGGTTTCTGTGATTTTTATCATTATGAACGTTAACCAAAATTAGACGTTGAATCTGCGTGTAATTTGGATAATTATAGTCTTATTAATTTCAAAAGAAAATAACAATAATAGGATAAATAATCAAAATCTATATACCAAATTTCTTGTGATGGAAAGGTGGATGCATATTTTTGTTACAATTTCAAACGAGTCAAAAATACACTTCGATTTGTTTATAAATATTATGATTTGTTTTTGTTTATTTTATATATTATGATTTTCCTTATATTTTATTCCTTATTTCCTTTTTCTTTCGAGAGCGATAAAAATTATAATCAAGATTTCCTGGATGTGTCCTTTTTCACACATTGACCGAACTTTCATAACAAGTCATCCGTGTTTTGCGAATCAAAAATTAGTGTGAATTACTAATCTCTTAATTAATGTAATTATTCACACCCACGAGTTCGTTTCTCTTTTGACTCTAATCCAATTTAATTTTCCGAATATCTGATCAGAATTTTAATACTGAACTTCGCTGGGTGATATCAGTATTAGAATCCCATCGAATGCGAGCGTGAAAGATGAAAGGTAAATCAATCAAAGAATAAGCAGGATTCGTATTGTACAGAATTTTTAAGTAATATATAGTGAATAGGCCTGTGAAATATTGAAAACAAAACTTAAAAATGCAACTCAATTCATTTCCCGTAACGCTTACGCAATACACTCCTGACCACTTGAACCTTTTCTAGGATTGAATTACTATCATTTTCCATATTACCATTTCTTTTCTCGAATTTATTAATTTTTGAGTCGAGAAAATTCTTGCATGTGAGTAATACTCATTGTACACTGAACAAGCACAAGAAATTATCCAGTCAAATTTTCACGGTACATCGGTGTAACGGTGAAACCACAGAACGAAAAACAACCGCAATACCGCCCTCGACAAATTCACCTCTTTTTTGAAAAATCTCACACGACTGCGAGCGAGTACGCGTACCGCTAGATCTCGAGTTTCAGGATTTTTTCTTCCATCTTTTCTTCGGCTCGAATATAATTACGCGTTTCCTGAAGCCTGCACATGCATAACACAAGAGTTCACGACGAGAAAATTCGTGTGTGGGTATGTTGCGGGCTCGCGTGTTTGCGAGGGAGATTTTTGAATGGCCGAACTGGGCACGCACGCATCGGAATCCGCACAATTGCGCGCACAATGGCCCAACATGTGAGACGTACCGTAAGAAATCGTAAGAATCGGCGCCTCAGCATCTTCCATGCATGTATGTGTGTGTACAACGTACCTTTCCCAAATTCTCTTGTGACCGCGTCAATTATTTATCTCTGTATTTTCTTCTTTCCTGTACGCCTACACAGCAGCATCGACATTTAACCTGCTATAGTTCGAATACATCTGTGAATAGTTTTGATTCGTGTACCGATCCTCTACAATATTATTCGAGAAATTATGAATCGCCATGAGCTCGAAAAAAAGGAATTATAATGCGAGAAGAAGCAATTCTTTTGAAATAGTTTTTGATAAGAACGATAAATAACTAGCTCCAATTAACAGATGAGTCGCAAAGAAGGCGTATGCATAGGCTATTTTCATTTCACTTTCACGTTTATAGTCGTATTTTTTTCATGCTTAGCCACTGTGACATCATAGCTGTCACATGGCTCATCGATTTCGATTAAGATTGCGTCTCGCCTCCACTCGGATTTCTCTGTACGATTTTCTATATACATATACGCGCGCGCGCGTGTAATCCATATCTGAGCGCAGCTCGCAAAATGTATAAAGTAGTGTATAAACGTCGAAAAAAATGTTTTTTCTCTTTTCTCTCTGTCTCTCGGTCTGTCGAAAGCGAAGAATGAAAAAGGTATATAGCTCGCGGCTCGTTTGTTCCGCGCTGCGTGCCCCATGGTTCGTGTTTATCCGGCGTGCAGCGCTGCAATGCTGTATGTATGTACGTAACGTGCGTACATATAAGTAGGCATGTACAGCCGATCGATGGGCGCGCGAGCGCGATTCATTCACCTTTTTTTCTTTGCTGGCTCGATACATCTCTCGAAAGTCCATTAAAAAATCTTGAAGAAGCTATAATGCCCAAGCTCGTGGATACACATATCGATGTTTTTCAAAAGGATCGAGATTATAGCGTTTACTTTGGCTATGCGCCGTGTACTCTGCAGCGTCGAGCGAGCGAGCCCATCGAAATAGCGACGAGATAGGCCCACACACGTGCTCGCGTAAACAAAGATTTTATACGTCGACGCGGGCTCGATCGAACGCCTTTGACTGTACTGTGCGCGATCCTCGTTTCCAAGGTTCATTGAACCACTCTTGTACACCACACTTTTCATTGTCCTTGTTTTGATTTTTTCATGTACATATTTTTCTTTCAACTCGTTAGCCACTCTAGCGTAATCGCTCCGAGATACCTACTTATCACATAATAGGTCAAACAGCCAACATAGGCATTTTTCGGCTGATTTACATAAACAGTTTAGAGATAACCTTTAACGATCTACACCGCAGATATTAAAAAGAATTTCACGCCTTTGAGTTTATTCCATTCCTTCCTGCATAATCAAGCAAACAAACAATTGTCAATATTAGTCTGATAATTGCTTCATGACCTCTATAGTTTTTTTTCTAGAGATGATGATTTTTTACTTTTTTCTATCTTTTTCCATTTTGTTTCTTTTTTTCTTTGGGGTTTACAAAGAAACTTTACACGACTCTGCCAATAGCTTATTATTTATTCCCAGAGGGTGTCAGCAAGAAAAGAGGCTGGCAAGCTCGATCCGATAAAAAAGGCATGCCACTCCGACCAAAATACAATCCCGCTCATAATAACGATGAAGATATTATGTACATATTATAAGGAGTCAGTGCGCTTCAAAATTATACTTTTTGATCAATAATCCACAGATGGTCGATCATGAGTTTAATTTTTTTAATTAAAGATAAAATCACAAAAACCTCAATAGCCTACTGACTCCTAAACACAAAAAAAAAATAATTATTAAAGAAATAAAATCAACGAGAGCGAGAAAAAGCATCGATATCAAAATTAAACTATTCCACTTTTAAATGATTATGTTCCATGCTGGATAGTCGCTTTGATGCATATCTTGCTCAACTCTATATTACAATTCAAGTGATAATTAATTTGGCAAGTTCATGGACAGTTTCTCGTGCTTACTCGTACTCTGGTGGATTTGATTTAAAGAAAAAAAAATCCAATTAACAAGCAGTTTTTATTTTAAAATTCGATTAAAAAATTGTTATTTACGATGTAATCTAAGGTGCAATAAAAAAAGTATCGAATAAAAAACTTGCTACGATCGGTTTGTGTTCCTGCCATTGTTTTACAACTGCTAAGAGAAGCGATATGCATGTTTTCGTTTATTCGCTTTTATGAAAAAAAAACAAAAAAAAATATATTGAAGCATATGAATAATTGATTGTTAACTATGAACAAACAAAACTAAAAATTAAAAATTACTCTATAAATATACTTTTCCTGCCATCTCGTGAAACATAATTGAATCCTAATAAATAAGTATCGTCATTAATAAGTGAAGAATTTGAGGCAGTTTGCACTTTAAACATACTATAATTAATAATATACAATGTTGCAATAAATTTTTAACAAAGTATTGTAATAACATTTGTTGCATTTATCATAATATGTATAATCTTTGTAAAATTATTCATTAAAGGTAATATATATGGCACATTTGTATAATGTATTATAAAAAAACAGGAGTCACATTTGGTATGTAATCACGTCAACACGAACGTACGTACAAGAACATTAATCTTACTTAATATTATAGCTCTTATTTTTATGATATACGGTGAAATGTAAAACTATACTTGATAAATCGATGAACTATGGTTTACTAAGTGTCGATGTATAAATTGCGAAATAACTATTTTTACGATGAATAAAAAAAGAAGTATCAATAGTGTAAACGTCTATGAGAGAAAATGTCGATACTTAACGAAGTATTTTTTTAAAAATCTGACCAAAACGACTTACTAAATCAGCTTGATGAAAAATTAAACAAGAGATTTCGAGCCGTTTTGACAGATATATTCAATACCATTTCAAAATGAGTAGAAAGAAAAATTGTCCTAAATATGTAAAGATTTGATGAAAAAATCAAAAGAACCAGTATTGAGACAAGGGGATCTGCAGCTGCATTGAGCTTGCTAGATCGTGTACTTAGCGCGTTCTGTGACATACGGTACAAATTCAGACCTTACCTACGATATTTACTAATAATAAATGAATGTGAATCCTAGGACTAATTTATGTATATGGGCGATACCAAAGATAATAACAGTTTATAATTGTATGATTAACGATCATTTATAATTGTGTGATCAAAAAACTGACGTAAAGACGAAGAATGAACGAAATTCCAGATTATCTTTAAAAAAGAAGTAAATATGAATTTTTAATAAAGGTTAATGTCAAATTTGCAAGTTGGCTAATACTAACTCATAAGACCTCGCGTGTCGACAACCAACGCCGTCAAAAATCATTATTTCTTTCAACTGCAAGTTTTTATATATTATTATTTACATACAAAATGTTTGTGATTCTTTAAACTCGCTTTTAGGCCTAAATTTTTTCCTTTACTATGCTAGTGTATGCATACATGTAGTAATACATGTGACGAACAATTGGAAAAAATATATAAAATTAATGAAAATATGTATATGTATAAGTAAAATTAGATGTCGGTGCATCGCCTGTTTCGGTGGCATATTTTTTACTCGTGTATCTCGCAAAAATAATTACTCAAAGAATGAAGCTGGTTGACGAAAAATTATTTTACTAGTACGACTACGTGATCTGATACATAATAGACAATATTATTGAAATATCTAGCCATAAACTGATATTATGTTCCATAACTAAAACAATGAAGGGGAATCAATTTTCCGGCGACAAAAATATGTGTATACCACTAAATAAAACTAATGATTGTAGTTTATTATAACGATTTCCTACGTATAAAAAAATTAAGAACACATATGATACTGTAAAATATTATCTTGATCACAAGACTGATTTTTGCTTAAAGGCATTAAAAAATATTTGAATTTATAAAATCGAATTATAACGAGCAATAGATAAAAATAGCAGTAGGCAATCAGAATCAACATTTCACACAGGAGTGAACAACTTCATTAATAAAACCGATCGTTTTTA